CTTGGCAGGAGACCATGGCTTTAGGACATTCGAGCAGCTCCTTGGAGAGGCCCACGTGGCTGGAAATTGAGGCCTCCTGCCAACAACCAACAATAAAATGAGATTTTGTGATAACAACCAATAAGTAACCGAGGCCTCCTGCCAAAAGGCATGCGAGTGAGCCATTTTGAAAGCAGAGCCTAAGCCCTAGTCAAGCTTTCATATGAATACTGCCTAACAGGGGTCTTCAAACTACGGCCCGCGGGCCACATGCGGCCCGCAGAGGAGTCTGATCCGGCCCACCAGGTTTTTTGGACAGTGAGCGCAGCCGAGGTGCTACAGTAGGAATTAGTAGTTCATATAGTCCGGCCTTCCAGCTCTCTGAGGGACCGTGATCTGGCTCCCACTTTAAAAAGTTTGAGGATGCCTGGGCCCCTAGCACATATCTTGACTCATTTCAGATCCTGAGCCAGAACCCAGTTAAGTGCTCTGAAATTCCTGACCCATAGAACCTGTGAGATGATTAACACTTAGTCTTAAGCTGTTAATTTTTTAAGCTGTTAAATTTTGAGGTGATTTACTCTGCGTCAAAGTAATAGTCAACTACCAAAGCTTACTCAAGAAAAACTGCACAACCTGAATAGCCCTATATCTAAGAAAGATATTGAATTAGTAGTTTAAAACCCTTCCAAGAAAAAAAATCCATGCCTATAAGGCTTTATTATTGAATTCTTCCAAATATAATATTTAAGAAATAGTACCAGCTATTAGTTTAATTGTTGCTCCTTTCAATATCTTTTTGGGTTTTTTTTCCTGACAGATTTAGCCTTTTTCTATCTTTGGTTAGCAGCAGTTTTACAATGATGTGATTTCATGTGGTTTTCTTTTGATCCTGTTTAGGGTTTATAACGAATCTTGAATCTGTGGTTTGATGTTTTTCATTGATTTTGTGAAATTTTCAGTCATTATCTCTTAAAATACTGTTTGTTTTTTGTTGTTTTTTGGTTTTTTTTGTCCTTTCTTTCTGGACACTGATTTACGATGTTAGATCTCACTATATATTCTATGTCACAGATATTTTGCTAACTTCTGTATTTTCATTGTTTTGTCTCTCTCTGCATCATTCTGCATATTTTCTTCTAACTTTTGTTCATTTACTAATTCTCTCTTCTACCATGTTTCCCCGAAAATAAGACATCCTCTGAAAATAAGACCTACTTACAGGTTTCCTTCTGAGTGAAATATAAGGCATCCCCCAAAAAAATAAGGCCCCCCCAGGCTAAATATGAGAGATTTGGTCCACTGATTCTGAAAGAAATGGAGCCACAAGAAATTCACCAGGAAATTCAGGAATTGGATTGTTATGATGATGTTCCAGAAGATGACAACATGATTGTCATTGAATAAATGAGTAAATTCTTGATACTGTAGGATTCACAGTTTGTCTGGTTTGTGTTGACAACTACCAAACTACCATACCATATACAGGTAATAAATTTCCTTTATTTTCATTTAACAATAAATGTGTACCGTATTCTTCTTCATGGGAAAATAAGACATCCCCTGAAAATAAGACCTAGCGCATCTTTGGGAGCAAAAATTAATATAAGACACTGTCTTATTTTTGGGGAAACAGGGTACTATGCCTGTTCTGTTGTCAAATCCATCCTTTGATTCTAATTTCAGCCGTGGTAATTTTCCGCTCTAGTATTTCCATATTTTTTTTAAAATATAGCTTTCAATTCTTTGCCCAAGCTCTCATTTTGTGTCTGAAAACTGTGGTATCTGGATGTCCCACAGATCTGTTTAAATGGAAGCTTCTGCAGGTATTCATTGTTTCTTGGTGTGGCTTTTTATTGTGTCCTACAGTGTACTTGCAAAACTTTATAGATTTATCTTAAATACCAGCAGAAGCTTACTGGATCAATTTTCTATTGCTGTATAACAGTATCACCACAAACTGAGTGTCTTAAAACAACACACATTTATTGGCTTAGGTCTTATGGGTGAGGAGTCCAAGCACAGCTCAGCTGGGGACTCCATTTCAGGCTTTCACATATCTGCAATCAAAGTGTCAGCTGTGGTCTCAGCTTAGGTTCCACTGGGAAAGGGATCCACTTTCAAGCTCACATGGTGGCAGCTTATAGTTCCTTGCAGACTGCTGGACCAAGGACCTACTTCTTGCTAACTGTTGGCCAGAGGCCATCCTCGGTTGTTTTTCCTGTAGCCCTCTCCAAAGGCCAGTTCATAACATGGCAGCTTGCTTCAAAGTCAGCAAGGGAGAGTTCGATAAGATGGGCATTAGAATGATATAATCACATATACATAATCATCTTTATAGTATCCTATTGATTAGAAGGAAGTCGTATTTCCCCCTCTCCACACACAAACAAGGCATACCAGTTACAGGAATTGTGGGGGGCCACTTTGGAGCCTGTCCACATACTGAGGATGTTAACATCCTTTTGAGAGAATTTTATTTCTGCCGAGCACCTGGGAGCTCTAAAAAAAATCTTAATCTCAATCCAATTTCAGGGATTTATAAAAAAAAAATAAAAAAATGCTAAGCTGCCATCCCTGGGTAGATATGCTTATTTCTGGATCATTCTTACTAGTTTTGAAATTGTTACTCAAGGGGAAAGGTTTATCACTGCAGGCCTCTTCCCCTTGGTAGCACACTGTTGTTAAAATAACCACTGAGCATCTCAGACAATAATTACAGAACTAGCGGACACTTCTAGGAAAAAGCAGCTCACCTACTTGGGTTTCTGTGCTTTGGTAGCAATTGTTCATTGTTATCGCCTCTTTCAAGGCTTTAAGCAGATATTTTAAAATTTTTGTTTAGCTATCAACTTTTCTAGATGTGTTCTTTAGAAAATCTGGTCCAAATTACTTGATCTACCATTATAATAAATAAAAGTCTTACAAATTACATAATTTGTAATTTGTTACTGGCCTCAACATATCCTATAAAGAGGTAATGTGCAAATTGACCCTCATGCCATCACACAAGATGTCCATTAAAAGATGGCCAGGAGGGGAGGGTAGTTGTGGGCAATCAGGCCAGCAGGGGAGGGCAGTTGGGGGGGACCAGGCCTACAGGGAGGACAGTTAGGGGCAACTAGGCTGGCAGGAGAGGGCAGTTGGGCAACCAGGTCAGCAGGAGAGAGCATTTAGGGGCAACTAGGCTGCCAGGGGAGGGCTGTTGAGGAGGCCCAGGCCTGCAAGGGAGAAAAGTTTGGGGGGGGAGGGTGTAACAGGACTGCAGGGGAGGTCAGTTGGGGTCAACCAGGTCTGCAGGGAAGGGCAGTTAGGGGCAACCAGGCCAGCAGGAGAGGGCAGTTAGGAGTTGATCAGGCTGGCAGGGGAGTGGTTAGGGGTTGATCAGGCTGGCAGGCAGAAGCAGTTAGGGGCAATCAGGAAGGCAGACAGGCAGGTGAGTGGTTGGGAGCCAGCAGTTCTGGATTGTGAGAGGGATGTCTGACTGCCGAACATCCCAGATTGGAGAGGGTGCAGGCTGAACTGAGGGACACCCTCCCCTCCCCTAGTGCATGTATTTCGTGCACCAGGCCTCTAGTAGAAAAATAATAATCTATAAGAGTAAATGTGTTTAGCTGAAACCGGTTTAGCTCAGTGGATAGAGCATCAGCCTGCAGACTGAAAGGTCAAAGGTTCGATTCCGGTCAAGGGCATGTACCTTGGTTGCGGGCACATCCCCAGTGGGGGGTGTGCAGGAGGCAGCTGATCGATGATTCTCTCTCATCGATGTTTCTAACTCTCTATCCGTCTCTCTTCCTCTCTGTAAAAAATCAATAAAGTATATTAAAGAAAAGAAAAAAGAGTAAATGTGTTTAAACGTAATCTAACCTGTTAAAGATTTTTTTCATCCTGAAAGAATTACAACCTACCCATTTCCCCCCATTAAATTATATTGAGCTTTTCTATTTCTGGAGCTTTCCATAGAGGAAAAGAAAAATTCTAATATTTTACACAATGGATATAAACACCTAAAACACAAGAGCCTAGAAATTAGCATGAAATTATAAACCTTTTTACATCACTTGCTATTTTGCTAACATTCTACATGAATCAGTATCTTAAATATTGAGTATTTCTACAAATTACATATGTCACAAAAGACTAAAGAGTAGAAATAATACACTGATTAAACCAGTATACTGGAGTTAGAGTTGTGATACTGATATAAGTTTAAAATATTTGAGAAACATTGATTTGTATTTAATTTTATTTACTTTTAAAATATATATTTTATTGATTTTTTTTTTTTTTTTTTTTTTTTTTTTTACAGAGGAGAGGGATAGAGAGTTAGAAACATCAATGAGAAAGAAACATCGATCAGCTACCCCCTGCACGGCCCCCACTGGGGATGTGCCTGCAACCAAGGTACATGCCCTTGACCGGGATCAAACCTGGGACCCCTCAGTCCGCAGGCCAATGCTCTATTCACTGGGCCAAACCGGTTAGGGTAATTTGTATTTAATTTTAAAAGGAAAGTCTGTAATTGATGAAAACTTGGGTAATAGATACTGCATCCCTACCTTTAAAATACACTAATTTGGGTGCTAGCTAGTTTTGCTCAGTACATAGAGCATCAGCCTGCAGACTGAAGGGTCCGGAATTTGATTCCCACCAAGGGTACATGTCCAGGATGCAGGCACATGTCCAGGTTGTGGGAGTGTGTAAGAGGCAGCTGATTGATGTTTCTCTCTCATTGACGTTTCTAGCTCTCTATCTCTTCCCTTTCTCTCTGTAAAATATCAATAAAATATATTAAAAAAAAAAAAAAGAATGTTGACATGAGGGTTGAGAGCTTGAAGAACAATCTTATATCAAGAGTTGGTAGCCAAATGCTGAAATTGGTAGAGCAAAATAGCAGCCTTAAGAGACATTTACCTCTGTATTTCTTTAAGTGAGAAGGAAAAATATTTTTTTTAAACCACTGGCATTTGGGATTTTAGTTGTATGCTGCTGTACCCCATCTTAACTGGTACAGATTTCAATTGTTGGCATATTATTCCTTTATTAGAACTTGCAAATGAGAAATTATTTCAATACCCGAAGACCAAACTACAACACAAGATTCCATAGGCTCAAGATTTTGAGACATTCTGGAAAGAGTTTTCTGTAAAGTATATCCTTTCCGTGGCATGGCAACATCGTTTTTCTTTAAAAAGGTTATTGGGCAAAGATCATTTCCACCATCACCTATATAAACAATCTGTGTATAATTCACTCCTTGTTGTAACTGTTTATCTACAAATTCTACCAAAACTGCATTTTTGCAAAGGTTTTTGGGGCACTTATTGCAAGAATGAGCGTGATAATTTTCCACAGTGAGATGACCCCTGCCATCAAAAGCTGCTGGATTTGTAAACACTTTATCAAACACATCATGAAAATTGGTAGCTTCTAAAACCCAATCAATGAAGACAGAATTTGAATCTGAAATAATGATGCAATCAAATTTGTCCTTGTTCTTTCTTATAAAGTTTAAAAGCTCCACCATCCCTGGAGTGAAAGGTATTGATGCCATTGTTCTTTTCATTTCATCTTCTCTTACACCCTCCTCTCCCAAATACTCAAAGACTCTGCCCATAAATTCTGTCCAAAATCCTTTTTTATAAGAATCCTGTAGTTCATTAGGAAGCTTTTTCTCTGGGGCACATTGTACAATCCAGGTGTCACTATTGTCATCTATGATTGTATTGTCAAAGTCAAAAACCAGCAAAATTTTCATGGTTCCAAAACAGATTTAGGATACCCTGAAAAAGAAGAAATATTATTCCCTAAATACTCCGTTTTACATATATAGCTATTAATTAATAAACATTACTGAGCATTAAACATAGGGTGAATCTGCTAAAACATAGGGTGAACATAAACAAAATAATTAAGCATTTTAGGACACCATTTAAGCATATTTGCCTAAGAAGCAAAGTTCATATTTGAGTATTTTAAGTGAATGGAAAACAGAATATCTAAAAAGGATATCCATGGTATTATTATGATCCTATGGGGATTATTCCTTGAGCATTTAGAATTAAGCTATTGAGAGAAGTAATGAAACAATTATTCTCTTACAGTCTTACTTAGAAATGTTTAAAAATAATACAGAAAAATGTATGCTAATTACTCATTTTTATCATCACAGCCAAACTTATTAGTTTAAAATATTTCTCTATATAAAAGGCTAATATGCAAACTGTCACCTCGGGAGTTCGACCAGGAGACCAGGTGTTCAATCACTAGCTATGATGAGAGATGACCACCAGGGGGCAGCACAAAATAAAGGAGGAACCCAGGGCCAGCAGCTGGGGAAGGCCCTGGCCGGCAGCCTGAAGACATGGATCGGCCCTGACTGCTGGTCAGGCCAAGGGACCCTATCCATGCGTGAATTTCATGCAGAGGGCCTTTAATTTACAATCATCTTCATATCAAACAATAGGTCTCTATGTACTAACCAAAATTCAGACCAAACTTAACATAACATTAAATCTTGCAAACTTTAGCCGAAACCGGTTTGGCTCAGTGGTAGAGCATCGGTCTGCGGACTGAAAGTTCCCAGGTTCGATTCCGGTTAAGGACATGTACCTTGGTTGCGGGCACATCCCGGGTAGGGGGTGTGCAAGAGGCAGCTGGTCGATGTTTCTCTCTCATCAACGTTTCTAGCTCTCTATCTCTCTCCCTTCCTCTCTGTAAAAAGTCAATAAAATATTTTTTTAAAAAAACAACAACTAAGGAGCTTACCCAGATCTTGATGAATAGGATCTGGGCACACCCAAAACTCAAAATAAATAAATAAATAAATAAAATAAAATAAAATAAAATAAAATAAATCTTGCAAACTTTAAATACTTTTTTAAAAACGTGTTTAGAGTAACTGTACTTTCTATCCCACATGGACATGATGTGTTTTTGCTTTGAGCTCTGGTCACAGTTGTACAAAACAAATGGCTATTTTTAGATTTTCCAATAAGACATTACTTAATGCCTATCATGTTTAGCATAAAAAGAATTAACAGTCCTGGCTGGTATGGCTCGGTTGGTTGGGCACTGTTCCCTGCACTGAAAGGCTGCTGGTTCCATTCCCAATTAGGACATATGCTTGGGTTGCTGGCTCAATCCCTCATAGGGGATGTGCAGGAGGCAGCCAATCTATATTTCACTCACATTAATGTTTCTTAAAAAAAAAAAAAAAAAAAAAAAAAAAAAAAAAAACATTAACAAAGAAATATTATATATGGTCCTAGCCTCAAAGTCTACAATCTAGTTGAGAATACACAGCACATCTAAAACAATCAGAGATTAGCACAAAACAGTATATCATTAAGTATTTAATTACACAGCACAGAAACAATTCTACCATACAGGAAAAAGAGCAAGATCATTGTTTGTAATGGGTAGATAGAAAGATAAAGGTTGCATTGTGAGCAAACCAGTAGGACAGAAGTGGGTTCACATCACTAATTGATAGGAAATTTGCTTAAAAATAGCTCTTATTTCTGATTAAGAGCTTCTAGTTGGTGGTGAGTTCTCTTGTAATGTTGGGGAATGATAAAAGCATACTGCTTTCATTGAAGTTGTCTAGCCTATAATCTTGTAGCATTTTCAATGCACAGTCTACTTTCATTAACTTCAGCGTGATATAAGAAGATTGGATTTCCGAGGGCCAATCAGCTATTTTTCCTACTGGATGAAGTATTCTGCAACAGACATTAGCAATCACATCAAAAACCTCAAGTTGGCTGAAACCGGTTTGGCTCAGTGGATAGAGTGTCGGCCTGCGGACTGAAAGGTCCCAGGTTCGATTCCAGTCAAAGGCATGTACCTTGGTTGTGGGCACATCCCCAGTAGGGGGTGTGCAAGAGGCAGCTGTTCGATGTTTCTAACTCTCTGTCCCCTCTCTTCCTCTCTGTAAAGAATCAATATTTTTTTAAAAGAAAAGAAAGAAGGGAAGTCTCCTTTGTAAAAATCAAAAACAACAACAAAAATCTCAAGTTGGTAATTGTAATGGTGATTAATAGTGAACAAAAAAAAAGTGTTTAGGCCGAATCTGGTTCGGCTCAGTGGATAGAGCGTTGGTCTGCGGACTGAAAGGTCCCAGGTTCGATTCCGGTCAAGGGCATGTACATTGGTTGCGGGCCCATCCCGGGTAGGGGGTGTGCAAGAGGCAGCTGGTCGATGTTTCTCTCTCATCAACATTTCTAACTCTCTCTCCCTCTTACTTCCTCTCTGTAAAAAAATCAATAAAATATATATATATTTTAAGTGTTTAGCTTGCAATCAATTTCTAATATCAATGCCAATGTTAAAACTAAATGGTGACAGGATGCTGTACTTGAAATTCTAACCAAATTACTTGGAGTGGAGGTTAGTTAGTTCTTCTGAACTAGTAATAATTTTTTTTTTTTAACGATTTTTACGTTTATTTATTTACTTACTTATTTCAGAGAGAAGGGAAAGGGGAGGGGGGAGAGAAAGAGACAGTGAAAGCCAGGGAGAGAGAGAGAAAGATCAATGTGAGAAACATCAATTAGTTGCCTCCTGTATGCATCCTGACCAGGGGTGGAACCCACAACCTAGGTATATGCCTTGACCAGAGTGCCAAACAATCAATAAGTAATGTGATTGAGTAATCACATTACTTATGATATGACAATTACTTAAATCTTTTACTTTAAAAGATAATATAGGTCAATTATACAACTCAAGAGAAAAGAATAAATTGGTTAACAGATGGTATGAATGAATATCATGTAAAAATAATATTATACATATTACCAAAATAAAAACTATAATTAGTATGTACAGACCATTTAAAAAAAAGAGTAATATTTTTAGTGAGATCACCATATACCAGACATTTAACTAAGAACTTTATAATTATCTCATTTAACTATCATAATCCTATTAAGTAGGAATTATCCTCACTTTAAAGATATGTAAACTAGTGCTTAAGTATTAGGTAGGTTGGTTAAGTATTAGTTAAATGTCAAAGCTGGAATTTTGACTCAGGTCTGCTTGACTTCAAAGCTCATGCTTTTAAGAACCACACTAGTGTCTAAGAAATAGAATACAGTATTTAAAGAGTATTGATCAGGTTAAAAATAAGATACTAAGGTCATTTTAACAAAAAGAGGTTTAATTACATGAAAACATTCATTAAAGTACATGCTACCTATAATAATACCTCTGTCATATACTTCATAACCATTCTGAGGTTTTAGCAAGAAATTCTACAAAGAAAAGTGAAGAACCCCAATAATAAAAAAGAGACAAATAAAAATGGAAAACAGGTTACTAACCAATGTTACCCCAATAAATTTAACTTTAAAAAAAAAAAAAAAAAAAGGAAAACATGAAATTTAACCACATATATTCTCTGGTTTATTACAATAGACAGCCAGCAACCCTGGCTAGTGTGGCTCAGCAGTTAAACATTGACCTATGAACCAGGAGGTCCTGGTTCGAATCCTGGTCTGAGCACATGCCCAGGTTGTGGGCTCAATCCCCAGTAGGGGGCGTGCAAGAGTCAGGAAGCAGCCAATCAATGATTCTCTCTCATCACTGATACTTCTTTCTCCCCCTTTCTCTCTGAAATATATATATATATATATATATATATATATATATATATATATATATATATTTTTTTTTTTTTTTTTAAATAGATAGCCAGCAAGTGAAATAGAGGTCATTACCCAGATAAGAGTAAGTACTCAATGTCTCTCAATTTAGAATATCTGGAGAATAATTAATCTTGATGGTATCTCCTGTTGTGTGAATTTAGATATATATATAGGGTGGGGCACACAGTTATTTGTATGAAAAATAATACAATAACTAATCAATGATACTACAAGAATGAACACTGTGTAGACCTACTTCTGCCCTACCCTGTAATATCCTGAGACTCTGTATCCTTGAATCTCCAAATGCCTAATTTAGCTGCCTCTGACTGGCTCCCAGAGATTTAAGTGCAGAATTAACTTTCCCATAGAAACAATGTAATAAATAGCAACAAGGCATAGTTGACAATTACATTAGGACCGTACCTAGGCATATTTTAAATTAAATATGATTTTTAAGCATTCTGAATTGAATTAAAATTTTTTCAAGTATAACTCATTGTTGGTTAAAAATTTCCTCAAGCCTAGATTTAATTAGCTACAAGTTAGTAAAATTCCTGAACTATTGACCTAAAAATACTGAGATATGTCATAAGTCTGAAGTTAATATAGTGCCACCACTATTAATTTCTATCTGAAAGTGAACTTTTTTTAATTTCATATATTTTGTATTCAAATTTTCACAAAAATTTTAAATATTTTTAATTATTTAAAAATACCTATTAAAAATACTTACCCAACTAAGTATTTCCAAGACAATTAATCTTATTTCAGCATAGAGTTACAGTCATGACAATCTTCATTTTCCAACACCAGCCCGTTTCTAAACAACATTACTCCTACTCTATATGCAGGTAACAAAGTCTTCTGGTTTGGAGCAAAGGAACAGAGACTTCTTAACTCCTAAAAGTAATAAAAGCTTATTTAAGATATTTTAAAATTTGTTTTCTAAAGATGCTATTTTTTTTATACCAGAAAAGCACCTATTGGCAACAGGAAAAACAAAATCTTGTTTAAACACAAACCTTAAATGCAAAACAAAATGTTATGTAAATATACGTTTTTACCTGGTGGATACAATCACAAGTATTACACTGATTATGTTGAGAATTACAAATTCCACTTTTTCTTTTTATTTGCTAAATAACAGACAAATACTACATTCTGCTGTCAATAAACATTCAAAGATTTAGCATACTTGAAATTAAAGTCTCAAAAATTTAGGATATGCACAAAGATTTAATTTTAAGAATGTGAACCTATGCCCTAACTGGTTTAGCTCAGTGGATAAAGTATCTGCCTGTGGATTGAAGGGTCCCAGGTTCGATTCCGGTCAAGGGCATGTACATTGGTTGCGGGCACATCCCCAGTACGGGGTGTGCAAGAGGCAGCTGATCAATGACTCTCTCCCATCGATGTTTCTAACTCTCTATCTCTCTCCCTTCCTCTCTGTACAAAATCAATAAAATATATTTAAAATAAATAAACAAGTAAATAAGTAAATAAATAAATAAGACATGTAGCTTATTTGAAATGCTTATTGTCCATTATAATAAAGATTTGGGTTCCTGCTGAAACCGATTTGGCTCAGTGGTAGAGCATCGGTCTGCAGACTGAAAGGTCCCAGGTTCGATTCCGGTCAAGGGCATGTACATTGGTTGTGGGCACATCCCGGGTAGGGGGTGTGCAAGAGGCAGCTGGTCGATGTTTCTCTCTCATCTACGTTTCTGGCTCTCTATCTCTCTCTCCTCCTCTCTGAAAAAATCAATAAAGTATATTAAAAAAAAAAAAAAAAAAAGATTTAGGTTCCTTAGCCTAACTCCATGTGCAGGTGACTTCTGATTTTGGGACTGGAGTAAAATTGTTGATATTCTGACTCCTGCTTCTGCTGTAACTCATCTCTGACCTCGGGGCCTGCAGCTTCTACAAAATTGTGGCAGGCTAAGTTGTTAGCGTGCAAGGAGGATAGAATCTCTTTCCCAGTTTTTTTTTTTTTTTAATATATTTTATTTTATTTATTTAAAAAACATAGTTTATTGATTTTTTTACAGAGAGGAAGAGAGAGGGATAGAGAGCTAGAAACATCGATGAGAGAGAATCATCGATCAGCTGCCTCTTGCACACCCCCTACTGGGGATGTGCCTGCAACCAAGGTACATGCCCTGGACCAGAATCGAACCTGGGACCTTTCAGTCCTCAGGTCGAGGCTCTATCCACTGAGCCACACCGGCTTCGGCATCTTTCCCTGTTCTTGACATGTTAAAAGTTGTGCTTCACAAAAACAAATAAACAACAAAACCAAATATTTTATTAACCCCTTTCATACTTACCAGCATTCTTCTGGTGTAACATCTGATAGAAAACCTGAACAAAAACGGTAAAACTATGTTAGAACTTTAGTGACTAAACACGTTTCTCCTTCCATTTTGAAAAACTCCGACTTGGTGCCGCCTAAGGACGCACTGCAGCCAGCAAGCTGGTCAGGAAATCCCTTGTTCCTCGACGTGTCAGAAAAGTGTCTTTACAAACCAAGCCCGCATCCACTCTGAACAGATTCTGGTGTCCTTCCAGGTCTGGCTGATCCTCCAAATACATTCAATTTACTGTATCTACCAAGCAACTTTAAACACACTAAAGGTCCTACTATGAGTGTTCTGAGACAACTCCCAAGTTCGAAGATTTTTTTTTTAAATATATATATTATTATGTTTTACAGAGAGGAAGAGAGAGGGATAAAGAGCTAGAAACAGCAATGAAAGAGAAACAAAGATCAGCATACCTCCTAGTGGGGATGTGCCCACAACCAAGGTACATGCCCTTGACCGGATTCGAACCCGGGACCTCTCAGTCCGCAGGCTGATGCTCTATCCACTGAGCCAAACTGGTTTCGGCTGAAGGTTCTTATGTTTAAAAAAACTAAGCCCCTACTGGCCCGAATTATAAACTAAAGTATTTAAACTCCGATTTTCTGTCACCGAGCCCCTGGGTTCCCATGGCTACGGGAGAGCTCTGCCCCCCCCCCCCGCGCCCACGCGCGAGGGGACCCGTGGCCGCACGCACCCCGCCGCCCGCTCCCCACACACCTGCCGGCCGCCCGGAGGGGAGGGCAGGCACCCCGAGGGGGCGTCCGCGGCGGCCGCTGACGGAGGAGGATGGGGCACCAGCCCGGGCCCCCGGGTCGCCTCGCTGGCCCGGACCGGAGCCCGCAGCTGTGCCGGCCTCCGCCCCGCTCCCGGGAGTGTCCGCGCGCCGGCCCGTGGGGACGCCCCGCGCGAACACCGGCCTTTGCCTCTCGCGCAGGCGCAGCCGGTGCTCCCCCGCCCCGCGGCCGGCGGCCGCAGGCTCCCGGTTCTTCCGTGGCCGCGGCCGCGGCCGTCACTTCCGGCGGCGTTGCTAAGCAACCGCGCGGCATTTCCAAACACTGGAGACTGCAGCGCCCGGCGGCGCGGTCGCCTTTCCAAGTCCGAAAGCGCCATGGGCACCTCGGCGGAGACGCTCGTGCGGTTCGGGAGGCGCTCCGGACAGGCCAAGGGATGCCCGGGTGAGCTAGACTGGCCCACACTGGCCTGGGGGTTGTTTCTGACCCCCTCCCCCTGGACTCGGGGTGAGAGGCGAGGGTGACAGGTGAGGGGGCCTAGTCCAGGTGAAGGGGACTCCCAAGTCAAAAGCAGCGCGGGGTTCTATGTAAATTAGACAGTTTTGCCCTCAGATGAATGGGTAGGTGGGGAAATGTACATAAATAGCCCGGCCGGTGTGGCACAGTGTTTGAGCGTGGACCCCTGAACCAGGATGTCCAGGTCAGGGCACAAGACAGTTTCCGGCTGGATCCCAGTAGGGGGCGTGCAGGAGGCAGCGGATCAATGATTCTCATCTTTTTTTTTTTTTTTTTTTAATATATTGTATATATTCGATATTTTATTGATTTTGTACAGAGAGGAAGGGAGAGAGATAGAGAGTTAGAAACATCGATGAGAGAGAGTCATCGATCAGCTGCCTCTTGCACACCCCCTGCTGGGGATGTGCCCGCAACCAAGGTACATGCCCTTGACCAGAATCGAACCCGGGACCTTTCAGTCCTCAGGTCGAGGCTCTATCCATTGAGCCAAACCGGTTTCGGCTGATTCTCATCCTTGATGTTTCTATCCCTCTTCCTCTCCCTTCATCTCTCTGAAATCAATAAAAAACATTTGAAAAGAAAAAGTTTATATAAATAGAGGTGGAGAAAAAATAAGTATTAGGCTGATCCAATTGATCTGTGTGGTTGCAGTTCCAAGAGTCTGGAGTTTACCTTACTCGGAGCTCACCAGTTATCTTTGTTAAAAAAAAAAAAAAAAAAAAAAAAAAAAATCAGTGCTGCCCTAGCGGGTTTGCTCAGTGGATAGCGCATGCAGGGGTCCTCAAACTTTTTAAAGTGGGGGCCAGATCACGGTCCCTCGGAGAGCTGGAGGGCTGGACTATATGAACTACTAATTCCTACTGTAACACCTCGGCTGCGCTCACTGCCCAAAAAACCTGGCGGGCCGGATCATACTCCTCTGCGGGCCGCATGTGGCCCGCGGGCGGTAGTTTGAAGACGCCTGGGCCGATCCCCAGCAGGGGGCGTCAAGAGGCAGCTGATCAATGATTCTCATCATGGATGTTTCTGTCTCTCCCTCTCCCTTTCGGAAATCAATATATACATATGTATGTATGTATGAATGTATATGTATGTGTGTATGTATATACACACACACACATATATTTTTTAAATCAGTGCCATTTTTTAAACTTCACCGCTGCCTGAGGTAGTGATGATAATTGAGTACAAACAAGAAACTTATGACCAAGAAACTTATGTTCTGGAATTAGTGGTGATGTTTTCACAGCTTTGTGAATAGATTAAAAATCCCTGAATGTTATTATCCTTTACAATGGTGAGTTTTATGATATGTGAAATGTATCTCAATTATTGTAAAAAGAGAGATTTTGTAAGCCACGGGAAATGTTTAAACGATGACAGGCCCATGGACTGATTTTAGAGACCCATGGGTCACTTGCCACTGCTTTTGGCCCCTCTCTACTCCATGAGTCTGTCCATAGTCTTACTATGCCCCTCTCTTTTTTCTTGTTCCTTCTTTCAACTGTGGCCTGTTTAATTTCTGGAACAGCCACTTCGGGCCTTGTGTGAGAGCCACTGTGAGGAAGGAGTCTTGGAAACAGAATGCCCTTAGAGGAGTGAACTGTACATCAATCCAGTGAATTAGAGCATGGATGCCTGAGGTCATCTGTAGCTCTGATATCAATCGGAGCTCCTTATCCTGAGAGAGATGGGGGAACTTGTCCCAACCTCAATGGCCTGAAAGTAAAAAAACTTTCCCAGACTTTCTGTGGGTTCTCTTATTTCTTTATGCTTGCCCATTTCTACCGCTTTTATTCTCTTGATTCTCTTCTTGAGTCAGAGTCCATGAAAAGATCTTGAATAAGCCCTAGCTGGTTGTTCAGAGGTTAGGTAGGGGTGTCGAACTCAATCAGAGAAGGGGCCAAAATCTAAAATCCAGCCTAAATCGCGGGCCGAATGGTTTACTGAACAGTCATAAACTGTCATTGTGATGGAAACGCAGCGGAGTGCAGTGATGACAGCGCGGTGCGGGCCACATTGCAAGGCCTGGCGGGACGGATTTGGCCCGCGGGCCTTGTGTTTGACACATGTGGGTTAGAGCGTTGGACCGCTGACTGAAGAAGGGTCATGGGTTTGATATTCCATTCAAGGGCACATACCTTGGTTGTGGATTCAATCTCTGGCCACCAACTGATGTGTCTCTTTCACTGGATGTTTCTTTCTCTGTGTCTCTCCCCTCTCTTCTCCCTCTCTAAAATCAATGGGAAGAAATATCCTTGGGTGAGGATTAACAACAACAACAATGAAAGATCTTGAATAAAACATCTCATGAGTGCAGTTACTCTGCTGAAGATTTGGGATGTCACAGAGCGGGGATCACATTGTGCACCACACAGCTTCTGACATGCAGCTCTCCTTCCACTGCTTCCAGAGCCCGGGCACCACTGACCACAGGAGCTCCAGGCTTCAGGTCTGGTTGAGCTGATTGATCTAGAGGTATAATGGGATCCTCATTGTCCCAGGTGCTTCCTTTGTTTCCACTTTGTGGTTCACAGAACAACCTCCTATAAGGCTGCTGTGGTCCTTGGAATCTGGCCTTCATGCTTCCTCATTCATATCTAGCTTGGGAGTCACTCTCAGATGTCTTTACCAGAAGAACAAGAACGAACTTTACTAAAAGTCTCAAATAAACCTCTTTTCCTATTTCTATTTATTTATTTATTACAGAAATAATTATTGGCAAGTGAGATGCAAGTATTCTTAAACTAATGAGGCCCACCTGGGAACTGTAGTCAGTTCTCCAAATTACCTTGCTGGTACCCCATTAGAAAGGGGTTGAATGGAGTCAGTTATAATGTCTTCAATCCCAAAGTTATGCATTTATAAACTCCTACGTGGCTAAATTGAAAAAAATGCTTTTATAACAACCAGTTGGGTAGGTATTATTGACCTCAACTTTAAAGATGTTGATAGCAAGACTCCAAGAAGTTAAATGACTTGCCCAGGTTTACACACCAAGGAAATGACTAAACAAGGACTCAAATCTGTGTCTTTTGATTTCAGGGCGTTGAACCTTTCCATTTAATCCCAGTTGCTCTTAAGAATACAATTATTATTTCAGACAATTTCTAGATGTACCAATAGAGAAATGTCTGAGAGAAAAGAAGATCACACTCTTCTTGAAAGTTGTTAATATTCATTTTTAACACTTTACTAGAAATAAAAAACTTGAACGAAGAAGATCAAGATCTCTATCTGCCTCTTCTACCTAGCAAAGTGGATCTCCGGCAGGTCACCATCATCCCACACAATGAGTGGGAAAGGATTCGAGATAGCATCGATGGTTTAACAAGAAAAGCAGCATGCCTTCGAGCAGAAAGAAAGGCAAAGAAAGACATGCATCTCCGATCCCAAGAAGTGGTAAAACACTGGGCTCGTACATATGCAGTAAGTATTAACCACCCAGGAGTGCACAAGCACTGAAGGCTTATATTTTTTCTTAGCATTCTTGTAAATATTTTTACATATAGCCCTAGCCATTTTTGCTCAGTGGATGAGCGGAAGGGTCCCAGGTTGGATTCTGGCCAAGGGCACATGCCCGGGGTTGTGGGCTCGATTCCCAGTAGGGATTGTGCAGGAGGCAGCCAATCAATGATTCTCTGTCATCATTGATGATTCTATCTCTCTCCCTCTCCCTTCCCCTCTGAAATAAATAAACATGTATTTTAAATATATATATTTTTACCTATAAAACATTAAAATGCATTGAGACACATTTTCAACACCTTTATTTAGGTATAAGTGACATACAATAAATTGGACATATTTAAAGTGTACAATTTTATAAGTTTTTGTCATATAGACTCCTGACACCATCATTATAATTAAGACAATGAATATATTCATCACCCCAGAAAAGTTTATTCATAGCCCATCTTACTCCTCTCACTCTTTCCCCCCAATTTGTCTCCTGTCTCTAGGCAACTATTGATCTGCTTTCTATATTGATTTCACTCAACATGAAATATTTTCATATTGTGTGTATCAATTATTCATTCACTGTTATTGCTAAGTGGTGTTACCATGTATGGATATATACCACAGTTTATCTGTTTAATTGTTGACATTTGAGCTGTTTCCAGGCTCCTATAAATAATGCTGCTGCCCTATCCAGTTTGGCACAGTGGGTAGAGCTTCGGCTTGCAGACTGAAGGGTCCCAGGTTCAATTCCAGTCAAGGGCACATGCCTGGATTGCAGGCTCGATCCCCAGTAGGGGACGTAAGGAGGCAGCCAATCAATGATTCTCTCTCATCATTGATGTTTCTCCTCTTTTTTCTTCTCTGAAATCAATAAAAATATATTTTAAAAAGTAAAGCTGCTTATGAACATTTATGTGTAAGTGTATGGATATATGCTTTCATTTTTCTTGGGTAAATATCTTGGTATAGAGTAGCTGAATCATATAATAGATGTATGCTTATATATTATTATGTAAATATTTGAAGGAACTTTGAAGTAAACACAAGAAATTAAAAATAGTAGTTGCCTTAGAGGTTGCAGATGTAAATTAGGATTGGAGGAAGAGTTTCACTGTATACAATGATATTATTTTTGGGTTTTCAACCATATAACTGTGTTACCTACCTAAAAATTTCAATGAAAAATTAACTCATG